AAACAAAATTCAATAAAACGTCTAAACTTTCATATTTAATTTTTAATTTCTTAAGCGAAGTAAATTATTATTATAGTTGACGTTCATGCAAAGCAGGGATAGTAATTTTAATAGTAATTTCAAATTGTTATTTTCTAGACCTATAATTGGTCGTTTAAAAACAAAAATTTCTCCTCTACTCTGAACAGTGAATAGTCAGTCCCAAATGCTGTGTGTAAGTAAAAATCTTATTTTTTCGATAAACCCAAATCAATAATCATTATATTGTATTTTATATTGAAATGATATTTGCTGCAGCTAATGAAAGATAATAAAAAGAGTCCCCATAAATATTTTTGTTGTATCCTAATACCTCAGAAGCTCTTTCATATCTGGTTATTAAATGTTTATACCTAAATATCTGCTCTTCTAGATTGTAATGAAAACCATATCAGATCCTATGATTTTTATTTTATTTTTCAATGGATTCTGATTCCTTGGGAGCTTTTTCATGCGTATTTATAAAAATCTGTTGATATCCTAGAGCTTTTCCAGAATTTATGTTTTCTAGATTTTTAATCCAGATAACTTAATATCTGCCCTTCTAGATTGCAATTAAAACCTGACACATTCATTATGAGATCCTGATTTTTTTTAAAAATTTTTTAATGGATCCTGATTCTTTAGATGTTTTTCATACGTATTTAATGTGATATTTATATTTTCATATGAGAATTTAAATCTGTTGATACCTTAGAAGCTTTCCAGAATTTAAATCATAAAATTAACATCTGACACATACCTTATGAGATTCTATGGAATTTTGAATGGATCCTTATCCCTAAGGTGCTTTTCATGAATCTTTATAAAAATATTTTGATATCCTAGAAATTTTCCAGAATTTAAATCATAAAATTAAAATCTGACACATACCTTATGAGATTCTAAGGAATTTTGAATGGATTATCCCTGAGGTGCTTTTGAAAAATATTTTAATATCCTAGAAGTTTTCCAGAATTTATTTGTTTTAGATTTTTAATCCAGATAACTTAATATTTTTAAGTTATCCATTTTATTAGTTATTATTTTAAAGTTATCCAGATAACTTATAGATAGCAATTAAAACCTGACACATACATTATGAGATCTTATGATTTTTTTATTTTTTAATGGATCCCGATTCATTAGGTGCTTTTTCATGCATATTTAATATATTTTTTCTAGATTTTTTTTTTAGATTTTTAAACCTGATACCTTATTAGTTCTTCTATTGAATTTTGAATGGATCCTTATTCCTTAGCTTTTTCATGAATGTTTATAAAAATATATTGATACCTTGGGAACTATTCTAGATTTTTTCTTTAGACTTTTAAATCTGATACCTTATTAGTTCTTCTAGATTTGTAAATAAATCTGATTCCTTAGGAAATTAATGATACCTTAGGAGTTCTTTTACATGTGGTTATAAAATCCTGATACCTTAAGATCTCGTCTAAACTTGAAATTAAATCCTGATTTTTTTATGGAATTCATATACCACATTCCTTAGGAGCTGATTCTTGTGTATTTATAAAATATTTATTCCTCAGGAGATCTTACAGATTTATTCATTGAATCCTGAGCCCGCACTGAAAGATCTCTTCTTTTTAATTAAGTGCTGATAACTTCGGAGATCCTGAGATGTATTTATTAGATCCTGATCCTCTAAATTATCTTCCAGATTTTTAATCTATTCATGATACTTTAAGAGCTCTTTTAGATTTTTATTTAATTTTTTGATTTCTTAGGAGAACTTACGGATTCCTGAAAACTTAGATCGATTAGATTGTGAACTGATACTTTAAGAGCTCTTTCATATGTGATTATAAACTCCTTGTTTCTTAAGAAGTCTTCTAGATTTGTAGTTAATTTTTAGGGTACCAAAATCCGTTAAAAATTCTTGCTATCTTGTGAAGCCCTAATGATTTTTTAATGAATCATGATTCCTTAGAAGCAGTTTTATAAGTAATTATAAAAATATGATATCTTATTAGCTCGTGCAGATTTTTGATTTAATCCTGATACCTTAGGAGATCCTATAGATTTATTTTACTGTGAACTGATATGTCTTAGGAACTCTTTCAGATGTTGTTGATAGATCCTGAGATGAGATTTTTTTTTATTGGTTTACGTCGTATTTTTTAAAGCAATTTTGTATTTAGTCTAAATATATTCACGATTTAACATATTCAAACACTTGAACAAAACAAAACAAAATGTTCAAGTGTTTGATAACAATCTTGCAATATTTGTGCAGGAAATGGTTCAAATGTTATAATAAACCGATTTTTAAACCCAATATAAACCTATTTATAATCATGGAATTGTAAAGCAGGGGACGGAAATAGGGAACGATTCAAAGAACGGCTGACCCTAAATAGATAATAATAAAAAAATAATATCTTAATCTTTATAAATAACAAAGATAACAATAAATAAATTTTAGATTTATATATATATTAGAAAATTATTGTTTATATTTTTTATAATAACGTTCTTTCTTGTTAAATTTAACTTAATCTAACGCACTCGAACAATTTAAAACGGCTTAAACTTGATGCTTAAATTTTACTTTATGCTTATTATATACACACAGCCCGCCCTCTCACAAAACTTCAACCCTTATTGAGTACACGCGTGATGCTTTGTAAAGTAGGTTGTAAGACCCTTTCTCCGAGAAAGTTTACTGGCCGTTTGCGATACGGAAAACGTAACAATTTAAAATCAGGGATAACATCATTAACACAATTCATCCCCAGTTGAGTCTTTTAATGTTTCCCCGCTGATAGGATACTGTTTTCGATGGAAAATAAACAAATATTATAAAAATTGCCGATTTTTTTATTAGACAGCCATGAACGACCATGATCATACTCGTTCAATTATAACGGCAGTTAACTTCCTAATTATTCTGACAAAATACGAGTTATTCATGAAATTTCATACATAAAAATACATGAATAAATTTAAGAGGTGTAGTTTGAAGTGACCCAACAACTCCTTAGCATAACCGCATATCGCTGGTCCCCTTAACCGGTGTACGTAAAATTTTGTTTTGCCATTTTTTCGATAAATACCAATCATTAAACACTGGATCTATTGTATTTTAAATTTAAAATAATAACTACAGCTGATATAATCTATTAACAATAGGAACTTCCAGGGATTTTTTTTTTGTTGGATCCTGATACCATCTAGAGTTTTAATCATCCTGATACTTTAATAGCTCTATTAGATTTTAATTATATCCTGATATCTTAGGAGATAATATGGAATATTTTACTGGATCTGATACACTAAGAGCTCTGTCAAATTTTTAATTCAATCTAGATCTGGTAGATTTTTGTGGGGTCCTGATACCTTAGGATTTCATTTATTTGTGGTTGTAAATTCCTGATAAATCAGGGTATCTTATAAACTTTTTTTATTGTATCCTGAGACCTTAAGAGATCTTTCTGGCTCCCAATTAAATCCTGATACCTCAGATCTGTTAAATTTTTTTATCCCTTCCTATTCGTGATTTCTTAGGAATCAATTAAAATGTAGGCTATAAAATCCTGATACCTTAAGATCACTATCAGATTTTTAATTAAATCCTGATACCTTAAGATCACTATCAGATTTTTAATTAAATCCTGATACCTTAAGATCACTATCAGATTTTTAATTAAATCCTGATACATTATGCTCTTTCCGAGTTTTTGAAATAAATAAATACCGTAAGACATCTCTCAGATTTGAAATTATATCCTGGTACCTTAGATCCAATGTTTTTTTTTTGTTGGATCCTGGTACCTTAAGAGTTCTGCTCTAGTTTAAAGTAAATACTGATAGCTTAATAATTCTTCTGCATTTTAATTTAAATCCTGATAACTTAGGAGATCATATATGTTTTATTTATAAGTGAATACTAATCTTATGAATTTTTTTTATAGGATTGTGATAACTTAGGAGCTGGTGCTTGGTGATCTGGTGCTGCTGCCACAAGAGATCCAATGGATTTTTAATTTTAATACCTTAGGAATCCTATATATTTCTTTTTATTGGTTCGTGAAACCTTAAGAGCTCTTCTACATGTGTTATAAAATCCTGATACCTTAAGATATCCTATGATTTTTTTTATTGGGTTCTGATACTTCAGATCTTTCTTGTGACGGATATTCGGAACAATAATTCGGGGTTGAAAGGGTTAAAATGAGGAAAAAGTAAGACCAGTGTATTGATGTAGTCATTGCGGAATTGTTTGATCTGCCTATCATCACAGTTCACAGTTTTAGCCTTTCGTGTGTGTTTCATCTTTTTTCAATTCTTAATGCGTGTGACATGCGAAAACAAGGACGATAGGCTGTTTGGAAAGGGCCAAATTTAATCAAGACTTCTCAATTTTTGAATGACGGCGAAAAAATTTCAACAAAAAATTTTTCTCTTCGTTTAAAAGTGTTCGGTTTAGATAGACATTCGTGGTTGAAAAGGGCTAAAATGAAAGACAAAAAAATGTTTTCTTTTTGTTTTTCCATCCACCGTAAGAAGAAGGGTAGATTAACAGGCCAAATTAAATTTCGGCCCGCGTTTGAAAATGAAAATTTAATGATAAAATGCAAATAGGTATAATTTGTGATTTGCATGTAAACCCTTAAGAGGAAGAAAGGAGACGGGAGCTCTGTAGGAAATTGTATGTAGGTGAGGGTTGCAGGTGACGAAGGGGATGAAAATTGCCCAGGGCGGGGGCAAGTCTCATGGTGGGGGGCGGAGGCGGAGGCCAAGGTGGGGGTTGTAAAGGGGCGGAGTCACCAGTAGCCATGGCAAGTTTTCCCCCCTTTCCAACCCCCCCACCAGGACCACGCGATGCAGAAAAGGGGGCGCATGCACAGGGACAACTAAAGGGTATAATCAAATGTTAAAACGTGTATTTACAACAAATACATAATTTACTTTTTCATTTTTTTTTGTTATTTTTTAAAACTTTTTTTCTTAATCGTGGACAATGAAAATAACTTAAATATTTACAAGACTCATTTTTTGTTCGATTTTTTTTTTTGAAATAACAATTTACAACGGGGTTGCTTCCCCGGGTCGCACACACGTGTCAAACCCTCTTCCAGTACATATACTGTGCTTTTTGTTGTATAAATATCATTAAGCATAATAACTAATCTACAATGTTGATTACACGACAATCACATTTAAAAAAATCTTATTTATAACTTTTATTACAATTCTCTGCTGTTTTTTAAAATTATTATTGTGTGCCTATAATATATTATTGCAAAGACACTGGACTTAGTGCCGAAATTAAGTACGAGACATAAATATTATATGTCGTATTGTCAGTTCGGGGCCCTTGGCACCTAATCGATCGTACAATCTCTTATCTGTCTCCCACTTCTTAAGCATATATTTTTTAAACTTTTTTTTGTTGTTTTCTGAAGTTACTAACTGACATAAGGGACTAGGATGAAGGTTTGTTGTACTATATCGAGTGAAGATTACCAAGCCCTCGTCTGGAGAGGGAGGTAAGAAGGGCACATGTTGGCTTGTTGCTGGTGGTGTTGCTGCCGCTGGTAGATCAACTGCTGTTGCTGGTGGGTGTGGTTTGGGCAGTGCTGCTGTCGGACTTCGCCCGCCGCTCCGGAACACGGCTTGCCGTCTTTCACCAGGACGGGTACTGCCACTCTCCTCGGTGAACTCCCTCCCTGAAAAACAAAATGAACCATTGATAATTTGGCAATCCTTTTCATTATTACTAGTTCGACGAGCCAAAGAAAAAGAGAATCAGACACATAAGTGATTTAGTCGCACAAGCTCTAGTTGTTTTCTGCTTTTAAGCCGTTAGGTCCATGGTCACTGGGTCGGCTATTTTAATTAATCCAGCAGATCTTGGTAGTGGCTATGGAACCCAGGAAACCGGTCGGATCCTATGCTCTCGCTATTTTGCTATTGAGGTCTTGACTTGTTACCATCCATAACCTTCCCCGAACGTCCGGGATTCATTTACACTCAGAGAGCCCAGGGGTATTGGTACTGACTTGTTAACACCTAGACTTCTTAGTATGATACAAGAGCCCAAGGGTTGTCCCCGCAACACGAGCTCTGGTTAATTTTTCTTTTTACAATGTTACAAAAGCGTATAATTTTGCTACATGTATATAATAAGCTCCAATTTGCACATCCATGTACATGTACACACGTGAACAGAGTTAAGCCTATTACTTCTCGCAGTACTCCGGCAATTCCAGCTTTTGTACTTTACAATGAACAACTGACAAGCCTCGTGAACAATTAGCAGTCCGCGGTCAGACCTCCTTCTTATCCATCCAGGTCTAGGTGCTATCAACAGCATCAAGGTGATTTCAGCACCCAAAGCAATTAGTTCCTAAATTCAAACCCATTCACACTCTCACTCACTCTTAAATTCTTTCCTGGGGGAAACGGTGTTGTTCTATTACTACTGATATTTTTGTATTCCCTAGTATGTGTTGAGAGTGAATGTATTTTGGGGATAGGGTACTCAATATTCCGCCATCAAATCATTACTACAAACGGTACAACAACCCTTCCTCGAAGAATCTAGGGACCTAGATACTCGCTGCTTATTCTTATATCGGTTGCAGTGCATACTGAAAAAGAAATGAGACCAAGGATGCTGCCTTGCGTAGTGCCCCATAGTGAATGGGGACGCTTTTAGTACAATATCGGACTGGAACAAACGTTGAAACTGGTATGGGGCACCAGTCTTTGATTTTTGATTTTATTATCCAAAATACTTTTGTGGCAGTATCAAAAGCAGTGCGTGCTTCTATGCTTTTTCGTCGTTTCCATTCCCGATTCAACTTCGACCTAGGGCAATGCGAAATGTCGATGCTTGATTGATGCATTTTTTCCATAACCCTGTAGGCATGGGTGACTTTTTCTTTGCTTTTATGTCATATATCAAATTACTGCACATGTTCACACTAATCCTCGTCCAGGTATGCAAATTATGCTTTAATTTACGGTTTTTATCAGTAGGATCCCGCAATTCTCTCACGGCCAACTTGATCCGTATACGTATTAGATATTAAATATAAATAATAATAATGTAAATATAAGGTAAGAAAAAAGAAAAAAAATCCCTTCCAGTGCTGCCTGTCCTTTGACCAAACCGACAACGGCAGTGGCGGGAGCACGGTCAGCTAACCCTTTTAATACCCACATTTAATGCCTGCTCACAGTCACAGATATGGGCTGACTGATACCAAGAAACTATTCCGAGTCTCCAGTTTGGACTTGGCTCAGACCTATAGAATATACATCGATGCCATCGCGTTGTATCATTTCAACCCTAACTTCCTACTACCTAATCCTAAAATCCTGCCAGTCTGAACGTTCCTTTAGAGTTAAACAGTGCACAGCGATAAGATTGGACTTGACTTCCAGAAACATCTACTTTTGCTTTCGATACAGCAATCCTTGCAGAAAGATACCGTCATCGTACTGATGACCCCCTCTCATCCTCCCATGATGCCCAAACCTATGTGGACTGGTTTCAAACTTTGGTGGACAACATAGCATTTCAACTTCCTACAAAGATTCTAATCAAAAGACTTAAGAAAAATTCTAAACCCTTCTTTTTACAAGTTGGGTATTCCTCCAACTTCAGTGAGGAATAACAACCACTTCTTTTGATATATCAAATAACCCAACGCCAAGATTTTAAAATTCCCCTTGTTCCAGAAATAGCGAAAGCCAATCATAAAAAAATTCCATCAGGTCCGTCAGCTCAGTTTCACTACCACTCCCAAATCCTCCCACAGTAAATCATGGCTATTTTTCGAAAATGTGACATATATGCAGTATGACTACATCAACCGCTAAGAAGAGATACAAAAGACAATCCACTTCGAGGTAAAATGGGAAAAACTTTCGACATTTGACTTTATGATAAAGTCGAGCTTTTTTCCACAAACACTAACGCAAGGTATTAAAACTTGAACCAAAGTATAGGTGGGTAAAGCCGTTCCTTTTGAGGATTCTTTCCGGGACAGTTCGTTTTATTTATACAGTAAAGCAACTTACGTTTTTAAAGTGGATTTTATAACTTGTTTAGTGTAATTTTCGAAAAGGTACACAAGAAAAAACTGAAAAAAAGAACTATAGTTCACTAAGAACTGACGTTAGTTCAGTACAAACTGCAGTACTGTTCCTACAGAACAAGAACTTTCAAATCCTTGTTTTTTATGGGCATATCAGGATGATCGGAAACGACTAAACTAAAAGGAAAACTAAACTGAACTCAGACAGATTTTGACCTTCATGCATTTGACATGCACATCAGTTACGATTGTTCTTTTCTAAATAAATATTTAATATTTGAATGTCTCTGTTCTATTTCTTTACCAGACAATTTATGTAGAGAACAGGATGCCTATGATAAGGCCGGTTTAAGATTATCACCAAAACCATGTAATAAAATATAAAATTGATTTTAATACAAAATTTCGGCGGCATTTATAGATAGTTAACATAATTCTTTTACTTTCTAAATCGAATATGAAAACAATGAAAAATTTCATTCTAGGATTAGATGGGAATGGCTTACGACCCCCCTCTAATAATCTTAAATTGGTGAAAATGAGGTAGATGAAAGGGTTCGTGCTTGAAATATCATTCCGTAAATTTACGGCTAAATACGAACCAACGAGATGGTGGAATCGCGTAAAAAACATCTACTTAAATTTTGACACACCAAGAAACAACCTACCTTCCGCACCTCTCGGCGAAGCTTGTGCGATTGTCGTTGTTTGTGTTCCCGTAAAACTAGAAACAAAAAATGAAAAACTATTGTCACTAATCTAAAGGCTTTAAAAAGTTTTTTTTTGTGTGTGTAATGTTAAATCAATCCAAACTGCGTCACACTAGCTAAGCTTTAAATCAATCTTTAATCTACTAAGGTGTAAAATACTACTTGGTACTTATATTTTGAGGGCACTTTAATTTTATATGGTCTCTGCAAAAGTAAAACTATTTCGAAATTTTCCGGTTGGCGTTGCTACAATGTAACTGAAAACAATCTGGCCAGCCTATAAAAATTTATTGGTACTTCTCAAAATTTAATAAAATACGTCAAGTAAATGGTGAAAAACCGACGCCAATTTGAGGTGCTTGAGAAAGAGAAAGCAAGAGATAAAGTAAGAGAAAGAAAGAGAGAAAGGGTGGAGGAGAGAAAGAGTGAGAGGGGGGATAATAGAACGAGAAACATAAATGGAGAGGGAGGGGGAAAGACAGAAAGAGAGCGAGGAGACAAAGGGAGGGAGAGAGAGTTGGAGGGGGAGAGAGAGGGGTGAGGGAGGAAAGTGAGAGAGGGAGAGAGAGAGAGAGAGTGAGAGAGAGTGTGAGTGTGAGAGAGAGAGAGAGAGTGAGTGAGTGAGAGAGTGAGTGAGAGAGAGTGAGGTTATGAGTGAGAGACAGAGAGTGAGTGAGTGTGTGTGAGAGAGATAGAGAGTGAGTGAGTGAGTGAGTGAGTGAGAGAGAGAGAGTGAGTGAGTGTGTGTGAGAGAGATAGTGAGAGTGAGTGAGTGTGTGTGAGAGAGATAGAGAGTGAGTGAGTGTGTGTAAGAGAGAGATAGTGAGAGTGAGTGAGTGTGTGAGTGAGAGAGAGAGAGAGAGTGAGTGTGAGAGAGTGTGTGTGTGTGGGGGAGAGAGAGAGAGAGAGAGAGAGAGAGAGAGAGAGAGAGAGAAAACAAACGTACCAAATATAGCCTTCTTACGCATTGGACCACAACTAGGTAAAGAGCGTAATGAAAATGGAATTGGAAAAATTGGTTGAGAAACAATTGGACGAAATTCGTAAATCTCATAAACAGGAAGGCGGACGAACTCTTCTCTCAGCAGGCTGGAATTATATGCCTCTAAACTTTCTTAACTATTGTACCAACAAAATAAGATTGGCAAAGCTCACATCGCTCACATCTCATTCCATGGTACGGTATTAAACCTAGGGGTCCACAGGTCGCAGTAAGGGAAGAAAAGTAAAACATCTTTAAATTGAAGAACAATCTATAACCTTGAAAATAACCTTTAATTGAGGGGGCAAATTTTAGGCCCAAAAGTACAGCAATTAGCTTTGAAAATCTACTATTGCCATATTCCTTTTTGTTAAATGTAATTACAATGAATTCGTTCATTTGAAAGGGTTCCTTCAGGAGTTAAACCTAAGACAAAAGTCCACTTACACAACAGTTTGACAAGTGTCCGTTGTCGAAAATAGACGGTAGTATTTATTTAAAAGAAGTACCGAGCTAATAGACGTACACATAGACGGAGGGAAAATGGTTCCTTCTCCCCTCATCGAATTAAGCCGCCCCGATGAAGTAGATTGCATTAAATGAGCCGACTAGTGGTGCTACTTAAAAGACGGCCACCATTTTACTACCTCCCTCATTGTCTTACTCTCCCAACGGTTTCCTTCCTTGAAACAACAATCGGCTTTGTTGAGAAACTTGATTAGTGGCGTCGATCCTGTGCCTTTTATTTCACTTACCGTTGGATAATTGCTTAACAAACTGGTTGTCCCGAATTTGTCAAAAAAAAATTATTCTCATCAGCCCGAAATCCGGAAGTGGTTTGTGTAATGGCAGATCAGTTTGTTTTTCATGCGATCTAGGCGGGCTGGCTTGACATTCATCAATGAATTACTAGCCCAACGTTTTCAAAT